GGATAACAATCATCTAGAAGTGCATAAACTGTAAGCCTAAACTTATCATAAACTGTAAACGTATCCCTGAATTCTAATTGGCTAATTGGAATGTTGTTTCAGGAACATGTCCTACTTGATGAAATCAGGTTGGCGATGAAAATTCTGTCACTGTTCACTTGTTCAAAACCTTTTTGAGTTCCTGTCTTCTGTTAAACACAATATAAGATATTTTGAAAAATGCCGGTTTCCTACTATGAAAGTTGATGGATGCCAGCAACCAACCTTCAACAAAATCATTTATTTTGTGTTCAACAGAAAAAAGAAGCTCATAAATGTTTTAAACCACACGAGGGAGAGATATTTTTCATTATTTATGTAAACTATCCTTTTAAAGATGTTTATTTCTGTATGTTGATTTACTTCCAACTGAAATGGAATATTGAGTTTGTGGCGGAGTCATCTTTCCTTCATAGCAAACTAACGGTAAGACGGGCATGGTCTTGTATACCCAGCAATACCCAGAGTCTAGGGATTTAACAATATTGTAAATACCGTTAAACCGCAATAGTAATTTTTTTCAATATTACCGTAGGCGCATGACTCAATAAAACTATATTTCTGAGAAAAGTTTGCTTAGGCAAATGAAGCGAGCGGGAGGTACCGGGAACTACAATTCCCATCAGCCTAGGCGTGGCCATCATCCTTTGCGATCTGTTGTCACTACAGATCCAGTAATGCGGAAATGGAGTGTGTTGCTAGTAGCGGGGAAGAAAAAGAGCTGGAAATGATCGAACCTAAAGCGGGTTTTAAATCGGATGTGTGGAAGCATTTCGGTTTCTTTCTAAAAAGATACGAAAAAGGAGAAACGGTGACAGACAAAGAAAAAAACAGTATGCAGGCACTGCCAGACTGTGGTGAAATATAAGTCGGGGAATACGACTAAAAACAGTCATGGAGACTGCAGAACACAGCACACTTGTTAGATTAAAGCAGACATTGACTTGTACCGCAAAGAGACCTCTATCTCACTCATGAGATAGAAACCTCCCAGAAACCTCAGTCCCAAATGAGAGGGTTTTTTTCTGTTGCAGGGGATATGCCCAGAGATCCCAGCTTTTACCTGATTATAGTTATATGATAATTTTCCTTAAAAAACCCATCTCTATCTAAGTGAGTGAGTGATTAAATGTTAAATGTGATGAGTTTTCAACAATAATAAATTGAAACTTTATTTTTTTATATAGTTTAATAGTTTTTTGTTATTAAAATTGAAAAATTGAAGTTCCTGTTTCGAAACTTACAGATAGATGGCTAATTTGTATGTCATTAATATGTTCAGTGCTAAGGCAAATAATCACTTCTGGCACTTTTTTCGAGTCTTTTCATTAGTTTTGTTTTTCTTGTAAATTCATACCGAGGTATTATCGTACCGTGAAATTCTGATACCGTTACATCCCTACCAGAGTCTCTAGTTCATTTATTCTGGCAATGCAATTTTTTTATTTACTTTTGGAAGACTTTTAACTTTTTTTTTTTTTTTTTTAATTGAGAACATTGATAAAGACATCTCCTTACTGTAGGAGAATGTTTTGTTTGGGTTTGTTGATTGCAAAACAGAGCCTTTGCATAAAAAGCACAGTTATTTTCTTAATCTTGCTATTTTAAAAACAACATTTTTTAAACATAAATGTACATTTACAAACCAAAAACCTTTTTTATATAAATGTAAATATTTTTATCACTGAACAGGTGACAACACACCAAAACACATTTCAGAGCTGTTGACAGTCTGAACACTGTTGACATATATGTGTCCCACGCTGCTAAAAACACTATAAGGACAAATATATTTCACAAAAAAGTGAAAATTGGTTGTTTTGCGTTATTTTGAGCAATTCGTTCTTCCAGTTTGAAACTCATTTTTGTAGCTACGTCACGCCAATTAGATCCTTGCGTGTATTTCAGCGTGGAGACTGGATGTCTGTACCTGCGAGTTCATCGTGACGTCTCTGAGTGTGCTCCATTCATTCATGAAAAAGACTTGATTTAAACCAATCTGAGTGCTTTTCTGTGAATGAAGTGCAACTTGATGGAGCTTTGAAGACCTTCACAGTGTTTACCTGTTACAGTGTTCAGACGGCAAAGAGACGCCATGTTGTGTTACCAAAACAAGTGGAAGAAGAAGAATTGTTCAGAGACATGGGTCGTCAGTGCTGCGTTTATAAATGTGCGGTAACAAAGGTTTTGTTTTCATTTTCCAGCTGTGAGAGCACAGCTAGACTCACGCATGGACTACAGTGCATGCGACAGAGATACGTTTGGTACCTACCGAGTGCATCTAAGTAACTGAGAAATGCAGAGGTTTTTTTTTTTTTTCCCATTCGCCGTGCTTTATCAAATATTCCATTTAAACTACACTCTTCCAGCAGTTCCTGCATCCCATATCTTGTTTGTCACAGGGGGCATACATGAAATGTTCCTGAATGAAAGTGCCAATCTTCAGTTAGAGTCGATAAATTATTAATTTGGCAAATAATTTAATTACTGATGTCCATGTAAACAGTCACTGTCTTTGTCACTTGTGTCTGTGAAAATCAGTGCCCAACGGAAACTCTTATTTTTGTTCAAACCCTTTTGTTTTGTTTTGTTCTGAAATTTTTGTCTGTAATTTTCACAAGAAAAAATTTATTCGATCTCACGTTGTGTGACTCCGAAACTTTCATCTGTCATTAAAAAAAATTATATTTTATATATATATATATATTTTTTTTTTTTTTTTTTTTTTTTACCCCCGATTTTTGCATCTGAAAAAACTCTTTGAGAGGTTTTTTGACAATTCAAAGCCACCGTACAAACGAAAAGCTAAATACAGAATGCCAACACTTGAGCTACAGATAACTTTACATACAAACATTGTGCAAAAACAAAAACAGTGTTGCTTCGTCACGTCAACATGGCCATCATCTATTATAATGTCTATTGGTACTGCAAAAGTCTCCGTTTAATACTTGTTTACGTATGTAGTATGCGAAGTATCACAAGCAGCAATAAATCAATATTTCACTGATTTCCTAAAATAAATGTATCATTTTGGGATAATCATATCGCAGATCTTTGACCTCTCTCCTCTCTAAGCAGTATTGGATGAACACAACATGTAGCCTATTCCTCTTTTCTTCTTTGGAGAAGAAAGGTGAAATAAGTATCACTGCTTAAACTGACTCTGAAATAGTTTGCGTTTTTTAGCAATCCATTAGTTAATGCGTTTCGGACTCAGTGTGCAAGATTTGTTTTCGTGATGAATTTTTCGCATATGAATACGAAAAAAAAAGCATTAGAAAATTTCGGACTTCAGTGTGCAAAGACTTTTACTTTGAAACTATTTCTGATTCTATTAAAAAAGGCTTTAAAAACAACTGAAATTTGTCAATTATTATAGGTGGGCATAGATATTTTTTTTTAAATGTAGATTATCATTGTAATTAATCTAGATTAAAATGGCTCATTTAAATTCTGGCGAAGGCATTCAGAATATGTGTGCTACCCAAATAATAAGTCTTTGAGAATGGGTTTCTTAAGCCAGGTGGTGCCATTAGTCCAGGGACTCCATTAGTCCAGGGGCTCAACTCCTGTTTCCACATTGCATCACAAACTGCTTGAGAAACTGTTCTACTATGATAATTAGTGATGAAAATAAATGATCCACACACGCAGCTGTCAGTAAAGGACCGCAGACACACAGGCGCACAAACACACACACACACACACACACATCGTGAAATGTGGAAGTTTTTTTCTTTCCATTTGGCGTGTGTTATTAAATTCCATAACACTCTCACCAGTCCTTACTCCTTATTTGCATCTAATACCCCAGTTTGTCACGGGGCATGAATGAAATGTTTGTGAGTTAAAGTGAAAATGTAGAACTGCAGTTAAATGCAGGCATCCTACTGATTTGATTCAGAAGGGCACTTTTTTGTCAGATGGCTTACTGATCAGGTATACATCCGCACTATAATATATCAAGGTAAAAGTCATCATAGCTGGCGTAGAATTGACCCAGCTCCCGACCCAACTTTGAGAATAGATTAACGCCGATATTTTTTTATCGCACGATTAAAAGTCTTGCTGTGTTAACGCTGATAACGGCCCACCACTATTAAAATATAATCTTTTTCTTTAATGTGCGATGATGTATATATCAATTCTTTATATCTTTATTTTGGATATTTATTTATTTATTTTTCCATATTTTTTCATTTCCATCTTTATGCTGTAATGTGATTTCATATGCTTGCATTATTCACAATAAAAAATAGAGAAAGGTGGTTAAGTATATTGCTGTGCAGTTGCTATGGAAGCTCTCAGGTAGACGTCAACAAAAAGACCAGCACTCCAAACGTGGAAGTAAATGGCCAGATTTGATTGAAGATTACCAAAACAAACATTTTTTTAGTGGATTAGCTTGCACTGATTATTCATCCGCTTTGAGAATAAAAATGTGAGTTATCAAAATAAACATCATACATTTTGATTTTACACAGACTTTAAATATGTCGTTCAGATGAATCTTTTTCACTTTCCATGTCTTTTGATCATCTCACATGGTTTATTTTGGATAAAACACTTTCTCTTCCATAGACTGAGCTTCTTGAATGAGTATCAGAGCATGACATGGGCATGTCAGCTGAGCCAGGACTGTGTGCTTAAGCTTTAACACATGATACTCTTGAAAAGAGAAAACACTTATGAGGAAGCTTTAAAGAATACTCTAAAGTTTAAAAGTAAGAAATCGGAAGTTGTAGATTTCAGATCTGTTTGCAGAGGGGAATGGAGTTCTCTGTTGTATTCAAAGACAGAGCTGTCACATCACTGTAAGCTACTCTGATAAGTATACAGAATAATAACAACAGTGTATGTTCAGTAGCAGCATGAACTCGACACATTTTCTGCACCATGAGTCGCACAGAGTTTTTAAAGGGCCACTGTAATGTAGACTGCATGTTGTGTGTGTTCAGGAGCAGCCGAAGATCATTGAGCCTCTGGACTATGAGAATGTGGTGTTTCAGAGGAAAGCTCAAATCCACAGTGACCCACAGAGAGACCTGCTGCTGTGGCCAGCTGATGACGTATCAGTAAGTCGTTTCACAAGCTTTATTTCCTGACGTTTACTTGTTTGGCTCCTTTTCAAACTTACTCTTCATCCTTCTGCAGAGACCGTACAACTCTGACATGCTTGACCTTGAAAGCTGTTATATCTGTTTGCCTGTTTGTCTGTCTGTCTGTCTGTCTAATCTCTCTGTCTCTCTCTCTATATATTTATATGTTGGTCTGTTTGACTGTCTGTCTATGTCTGTCTCCCTGTCTATCTATATGTCTGTCTGTTTATTTGGCTGTCCGTTCGTCTGTCTGTCTGTCTGTCTGTCTGTCAGTGAGTCAGTCAGTCTGTCTGTCTGTTTGTCCTTCTGTCTGTCTGTATATCTGTCTGTTTATGTCTGTCTGTCTGTATAACTATCTGTTTATTTGTCTGTCTGTCTGTCTGTATATCTATCTGTTTATATGTCTGTCTGTCTGTATATCTGTCTGTCTGTCTGTCTATATCTATCTGTTTATATGTCTGTCTGTCTGTCTGTCTGTATATCTATCTGTTTATATGTCTGTCTGTCTTTATATCTATCTGTTTATATGTCTGTCTGTCTGTCTGTCTTTCTGTCTGTCTGTCTGTCTGTCTGTCTGTCTGTATATCTGTCTGTTTCTATGTTTGTCTGTCTGTTTATATGTCTGTCCGTTCCTCTTTCTGTCTGTCTGTTCGTCTGTCTGTCTGTCTGTCTGTATGTCTGTCTGTTTATATTTCTGTTCGTCCCTCTGTCTGTCTGTCTGTCCCTTCGTCCATCTGTCTGTATCTCTTTCTCTATATATAAATATGTTGGTCTGTCTGTCTGTCCATCCGTCTGTCTGTCCATCCGTTTGTTCGTCTGTCTGTCCTTCGGTTCATCCATCCATCCGTCTGTCTGTTTCGCTATATATTTATATGTCGGTCTGCAAGTCTGTCTGTATGTCTATTTATATGTCTGTCTGTCTATCTATATCTGTATGTCTATATGTCTTTCTCTTTGTCTATCTATATATTTCTGTCTGTCTGTCTGTCTGTCTCTGTCTATCTAATTATGTATGTCTGTATATCTGTCCATTATATGTCTGTTTATATGTCTGTCTGTGTATCCATCTGTTGTCCATCCGTCCGTCCGTCCGTCCGTCTCTCTATATATTTACATGCCGGTCTGTCTGTTTTTATGCTGGTCTGCCTGTCTGTCTATTTAAATGTCTGTCTATCTGTTGTCTGTCTATTTATATGCTTGTCTGTCTGTTTGACTGTTTATGTCTGTCTGTCTCTTTTTCTATCTGTGTCTCTCTGTCTGTCTATCTATCTATCTATCTATCTGACAGACATTTATAGTTAAACAGAAAGACAGACAAAGACATATAAATAGATAGACAGACATACATACAAACATAAAAATAGAATTACTAGTAGAATTAGATAGACTAATAAAATGACAGACAGACAGGACAGATAAAGACAGACAGATATAACATCTCTTTATCTATCTGTCTGTCTGTCTATTTATTTATTTATACATATCTGTCTGTCTGTCTATCCATCTGTCTATCTTTCTATCTATCTTTTTCATGCATCTGTCTATCTGTTTATATAATCCTTAGGAGGCACACATTGATCGTCACAGGAGAACCATCAATCCTTCAGTTCCTCAAAATGCTGAGAACGAAGCTAAAAGCCTGTTCGCCAAAGAGGTAAATACAGTGCAAAATTTCTCACTTCCAAACACCAAAGCAAAAGCAAAAGTCTGCAGCTCCAGTCTAAAAAATATGAGGTCACATTTTCCTGTTTTTCATATTTATCTCTGCCCATGTGATTGAGTAACTGAGCAACACTCATGCTCTTTGGCAGTGCATTAAGATGTACAACACCAACTGGCATGTCATCAACTATAATTACGAAGCCTATTCGGGAGATTTCCGGATGCTGCCCTGGTATGCCAAACTTTGCTTTTTTTCTCTCAAAGCTTTTGCAGTGCTATTTCCAAAGTTTGGCGTAAGCTACTTTTTCTGTCTTGCAGTAAAGGGATGAAGACGGAAAAGCTTCCCAGCCAAGTGTTTGAGGTGGATGAGGGGGAGGAGGTAAGAGATGTGTGATGGTGAAAAACTGAGCCTTATTTTTGCATGTCCTCTGTCCGTTCCACTTTTTATTTATGTACAGATGCTAATGATAAATTGGTTACCTCATTTTTAAAAAGAGCTTTTTGTTTAATTTTTTTCTAAGAAACACAGAATACTTAAAAATATAGCACAATTTATTAAGTTTTATATAATGAAATATTATGAAAGCAAATGACATTTTCAAAATTCATGTTTGGCATGCATATTGTGAGCAAATTGTGTCGTTGCATACACACATACACACACAACATCAAATGTGCCCTGTTTGTCATCCCAAGCCTAAATGGATTTCTTTATTTCAGTACAACATAAAAAGAAATGTATAGAACACTGGGTTGGCTAAAATTATTGAAAATTAATCATTTTCTATTGTTAGTATAGCTGCTAAAATAGTTTTACATGCCAGACCTTAAAGATGGACTTTCTTTTTTAGTAAATTATCCTATTTATGTGCAGAATAAAACGATAAATTTGTTGCCTCATTAAAAAAAAAATCCTTTGTTTATTTTATTATGGTAAAAATTGAGAACTTTAAAAAAAGTCATATCATAAATAATAGGTTTTAATACAATGGAATAGGTGCAAGAAGTGTTGGACAACTTTTTTTTTAAATCCAAATATAGCCTTTTTCATCCTGAACTTGGCATTCCTTGTTTTCAGAGGAACACAAACAGTATTTTATTGAATATTGGGGTGGCTAAAATTGAAATAATGTCATTATTTTGATAGCTCCTAAAATGTTATTTTATATTTTACCGTCTTTTACAGGCTTCGAAGTTTGACTTAAATTTTATTTAATCAGTTTTCATTTGAATTATCTGCAGAACAAAAAATGGCTACAATATTTCAATTTTTAAACAACAACTGAACACTAAAAACATTCAAGTTTATAACAATACTTGATTAGCAACTTTTACATTTTGACACAAAACAAAAACTCTTCTACTGTGTGCAATTTGTCTCATTGCACAAAAAAGCAAAGGAATTTCAAGTAATGATGACCACAGACCTTATTTAAATCATAAATCAAATGTCACTGTTTTAAAAACACTTTTAGTTTTAGAGGGAACCAATGGTGAAGCAGCTTTATAGGTTGCCCTACAAATGTCCGACGACTTAAATCTCATATCAAAATGACACCATGTCCAATTACAAAATTACAAATCAGACTTATTTTGGATTTATGTCGTTCTCTGTTAGTTGCTTTTATAAACTCACACATTAACCCTGTATTGTGTTTTTACAAGAAATGTTTGCTGTTGCTTCTGAATACTCAATCTATCATCTAAGAAAGTGTTAATTTCCAATTTCCGCCCTCACATCCACTTGAGGCCTTAAAGTAACACTAAGCTTATTTTAAATAGACTCAATTTACAAAGCCCCTCCCGTTAAACAGTTTAGTAACACTTTAATTTAGGTCACAATTAATGCTATTAACTACTGGCTTATTACCTGCTTATTATTAAGATATTAACTGTTTATTAGTAGTTCTAAAGTAGGATTCTGCATCCCTAATTATACCCAATACATAAGCCCAACATCTACTGTACTAACTATTAATAAACAGCTAATAAGCCATTTATTAAGTTAGTAGTGTTATTTAATGGTTTGTTAATACCGTGAATTGTGACCTAAATTAAAGTGTTATCAACAGTTTCACTGTTTTTATTAAAGCCATTCAGCCAATCTATGGGTCTGGCAGAAGCACTTTTAGCTTAGCATAGTTCAATAAATTGGATTAGCCTATTAGTATCTTTAAAAATAATAATAAAAAGGAGTCCTGATAATTTTCGTATTTTAATCTTGACTAGTTACTTTGTGTACTAAAACCGATGGGAAATGAAAGTTTAGTATTTTCTAGGCTGATACAGCTTGGAACTATATACTCATTCTGGTGTAATAATCAAGCAATTTTGCTTCTGTGCCATGGCTGCAGCAGGCGCTATGATATTACACAACACCTAAAAATCTCGCAGCTGTGCAGACATTTGTGAAAAATGAATCAAAAAAATTGTCAGCCACTGTGTAATATTATTGTGCATGCTGCAGCCTATGTAGAGCAACATACACTCACTGGCCACTTTATTAGGTACACCTTACTAGTACCGAGTTGGACCCCCTTTTGCCTTTAGAACTGCCTTAATCCTTTAAAGACACAAAGTGGAGTCTTCCTTTAAGCGTCGACTCGTTGTGTAATATCTCTTATTGACAATATATGCATTATTCTCCAACCCTGACGATGCTGTAAATGTTATGAGGCTTCAGTGAGGTCATAATCCGATGTAGAGATGAATGGCAGACGGTCAGCAGAGAGAGGCCAATTACATGAAACTCTACCCTCGTGATCTATTAATAGATGCACAGTGAAGCGTCCGGCAGGTCTTGATAAATTTAGACGTAAAAACTGGTGGTTAAAAGGCCTAAGGTTTGCTTCTCCACCCTCTGAATGTCTTTGCCTGTGTGGGTTTCAATCTGTGCATGCTTGGACACGGAGAGTCTGGCCGGCTTCCTTCTGTAAATTAACCGAGCTGTCTAAACACTACAGTTAAAGGAATTTTGGGCTAAAGGGAGGCTAAGGTTGATGACGCTAAAATATGCACAAAAATAAGTGCGTTAAATGAGGAATATATATAATATATTATAATATGAGTATAATGTAAATATATTTACTTATTTGTAGTTTCCAACTTGTATTGATTGTTGTGGAATATAACCAAATTTATGACTGAAATTAATAATTAATTAGTAATCAGTATTTTACATCTCATATTTCAAAGTTTGGAGTCTGTTCACATTATTTTTTTTATTAATCTTTTTATTAATTGACAATTTCTCAATCCTAGTATTTATATATATAGTGGGGAAAACACTAAGTATTATCAAAGTATTAAACACCTCACCTTTTTCCTCAGAAAGCATATTTCTAAAAGTGCCATTGACTTGAAGCTTTCCCTTGATGTTTGTAACAACCAAAGTAATCCATGTATACAAAGATAACAAATCTTATTAGATTACAAATAAAGTTATGCGTAATAAAATACAATGACGCAAAGAAAAAGTATTAAACACATGAAGCAAGGGAGGCGTAGAAAGGCAGTGAAAACCCAGACAGCAGCTGAAATCTCTCAGTAGTTCTACAGCAACCCTCTGCCCTTCGTCATTGTAAATGAATATTAGCTGCTTCAGTCCCAACATATACATTTGTCAGGGGGATGAAGATGAAATCAGGGTTTTAGCACATTTTGGCAAGATAATGATCTCGAACACAGCCAAGGAAACTCTCAAATGCTTAAAGAAAATCAAGCTGTAGAATGGCCCAGCCAATCACCTGACTTTAATCCAATAGAGAATACAAAATAAAGATCAGAATTGATAGTGAAACCCACAGAACCATCAAGATTTTTACACTGTTGAAGTCTGTGGGAAAAGAAAATCACACCTGAGCAATGCATGTGACTTCATTCTCCATATGAAAGGTGTCCTTAAGCTGTAAATTATTAAAGTACTGATTCTTTTTCAATAGTTTAGTACGTTCTCCTTGTGTCATTTCATTATTATTACACATAACTAATTTTCAGATTTGTTTTGTTTTATTATCATGTTTGTATTGTTTGGGTTTTTATCAAAATCTGGTTTAATCCCATGTAAACAAATCTTTTACAAATATCATTCTCTGGAAAAATCATGACGTGTCCAATACTTATTTTCCCCAATGTATCTCATCGAGATCTTCATTATTCAAGGTTTATGGCCAGTTTGTTTAGTTTTTCATACATATGTAAATCATATAACTTCTGTTCTTTTTGAGATTTATGTTTGTCAAAGGATCCCAAGAAAAATCAGAATAGAAAAGAATCAGAATCACAAAAAAAAAACACTCATAGCATATTCAGCTTATTTCTTAAAGGATTATGGCATCTAAAAATTGAGCTTAGTCATCATACAAATAAAATTATATAGATATATTAGCAATAAAATTATTCTAAATTGTAATAATAGCTGTATTTTTTGTTTAGCATAATAGACTTCTTTCGAAAAACCTCCTGACCCCAAACTTTTGAACTGTATTTGCTAGTATATGTACATATATCATGTTTCTCTCTGTCGTGGCCATTTAATTTAATCAATTAACTGAGTGACTCAAAAGGGAGAACAGGGTGCGGGCAATTGATCAGTCTCGTAGGGGCTGTTAGAAGCAGAGCGATAGATAAAGAGAGGGAGGGAGGGAATGGGAAGGGCATTTGTGCAATTATATTACAGTGGAGAGCTAGAGGAAAGCACATTCATAAAGGACAGCAGGCCACTTCTATTAAATTAGCTCCATATGCGCACACACACACACACACACACACACACACACACACACACACACACTCAAGCACATGCATTTATAGCTGCTTTAAGTAAAAAATCCCACCTCATTATGCCTTTCAGGAACACATTCATATTAGTGTTATATGTACTATTTGTTTTCAAGCATCTGTAAGTTGTGTTTGTGAGTGCATGGTTATTGTATTGTTAAAGATGCCATATCATGCTATTTTAAAAGGTCATTATTTAGTTTTTTTAGTAGTACTAGATTACAAAAAAACATACAGTGGTTAACTTAAACGAGTACACCCAATTTTGAAAATAAATACTTTTAGCCATTTCTCAGGTTATATATTTTGGTGCATTTAAACAAAACCGATTTATTAAACAGTTATATTTATTAAAATAATATTTAGTCACTGAACATATTTAAAAATAGAGGCAAGGCAAGTTTATTTATAAAGCACATTTCTTACAAAATTGTAATTCAAAGTGCTTTACATAAACAAGAATAAAAGAGACAAGAAAATGTACAAAACAACAAAAAATAAAAATGATTAAAAAGATAAAAAAGGATTAAAATGTGTTAAACATGTTATAAAATAATGAAAAGAATAAAGACATAATAGTGTGATCTAGTGCATTTAGTGACTTATAGACAAGTAATTACACTTTAAAATCTATTCTGAATGTAACTGGGAGCCAGTGTAAAGACCTGAGGACAGGTAGATGTGCTCTGATTTTCTGGTTCTGGTCAGAGTCTTGGCCCAGCGTTCTGGATAAGTTGCAACTATCTGACTGTCTTTTTAGGAAGACCAGTGAGGAGTCCATTACAGTAATCCACCCTGCTGCTGATAAAAGCATGAACAAGTTTCTCTAAGTCTTCACTGGAAAACAAAGCATCTGATTCTTGCAATGTTTTTGAGATGATAGTATGCTGATTTACTTACTGCTTTGACATGACTACTAAAAGTCAGAAAATATAAATAGAAAGATAAAACATTTAAATTTATGCAAAATATTGGGAATAAAATGCAAACTAGAATATTTTTCTAGTTTCTCTTGAATTTTGCTCTTTTTCTTTTTCTTTTAATATTTTTCTGTAATATATACATTTGGGTGTACTAATTGTGGACTGTTATCATAAGTTATTTTGTTAATTAACTCCAGATTTGGCTATAATGTAAATGCAAAAATATTATATTGTAAAGCTTCCTATAGAAAATATTAATCTAAATGAGAGATGTATGGCTCTTTATTAAATTTCTAAAGTAAAAAGAGAAAATACAAATAAAAATAACTGAACAACATGTTTTTTTTTTACTTTATATGCTTTTTTTTAGCAACTTGTCTATTGTTCAAGTTGACTACCCTTTTGTTATGTTAGTAGCTGTTTTTGCCCCACATCCGTTATAATGACATTTTTTGATTGCAAAGCCCTGACAGCATATAATCGTGAATGTTGGTGATTTCCAATGTTGGGAAGAGGTCAAATGAATAATTTTTACTGTTGGTCATCAGTTGGCACCACTAACTCTTTAGATAAGCTTGTGCAAAAAGGTTTCTAGCTTCTAGTTTCTAGTTCTATAGAGTAAAACAACTAATTATAGGGTGTGCGTATAACACACTTACTGGGCCCTATCATACACCCGGTGCAGTGTGGCGCAAGGCGTGGCGCAGTAGTCTTTTGGTAGTTTCAGCTTGGCGCAAGAGTCGTTTTGAGGCGTTGCGTTACGCTGTTTAAATAGCAAATGCATTAGTGCTCATTTGTGCACCCATAGGCGTTCTGGTCTAAAAAGGAAGGCGTTCTGAGGCGGACCGCTGGCGCGTTGCTATTTTGAGAATCTATAATAGATTTTTCATTCGACCAAAACTAACCCAGTCTAAACTCCGGCGCAGAGTTGCGCCTCGCTTACGCACTGCTTAATACGCACAAGAGAGCAATAGGCAAATATCTTTACATATGAAAAAATGTAAATATTAAAGATATATATATATATATATATAGGATATAATAAGAATAGATATATAATATAAATATAAAGGATTACAATATTACAAAACATATTATTTTCTAGCCTACATAAATATGAAAAACCACTGCTTTTATGTCTTCTTCATCTCGGGAGGCTTTTTCAGTTCATTCATAACAATTTGCTTTTGTATAATGGTATTATTATTAGCAGTAATGTTTATTATATCCATATATATATTTGTTTTATTAAAAAACAAGCTTAGATTTGCCCACCTGTCAGGTTTTAGACCATATGGGGCACAGCATGTGTTTTAGGATATAACTCAGGTTTTTGAGCTCATTTTATTATTATTCATTTATTTGTTTGCTGGAAATTAGAACTGAATTTAGAAATAGTTTTGAAATGAATATTTGCGCTTAACAAACAAAAGTATTTATTTATAGACTAATTGATGTCTGTGCGTAAAGGTTTCCCTATCCAAGAGCGAAAGTGAAAGTAGTTCCATTATCTCTAGTTCTCACGCAGTAGATGCTCTGTTTAACAGTTTTCTTTTAAAAAACTGTTAACTGTTACTGTTTGCTTGTGAAATGCTCATTTTTTCCACTTAGACTTACTTTGCGTCCTGTAAATAGTGAATGCGCTCTTGGCGCGACGCAGCTGACTCTTAAAGGGAATGGCAGATGAAATTCTAATTAGTTTATTCTCAAAACACACCTATAACTCATTAAGAAAATAAACTCAACCTTTTAGAACATGCGCCGCGACGCAAGGCAGATTTCCCGTCCTTAAATTAGCAAAAACGCATCCTGACACGCCCTGAAAGCGTTTGCACCCTGCGTTTTGCGCTCTGCGCATGGACCGTCAAAATAGAGCCCACTATGTTTACTATGTTATGAGAGCTAAAGTGCTTATTTTGATTTTCTCAGACATATCAAGATAAGTGTGCAAAGGTCTCTCTCACACTCTGTCACTGTATACTCCACACTATAATCCATATAACTCTGCATAAAGGCCAGAAACAATACTTTTTTTTGCACTAAATCAGTTCAATATACTGTAGAGTCAGATTGGGACTATGCGAATGACCAGCCAGATCAATCAACACATCTTTGCAATCAGTAAACATCAGCCTTGCATTCTTTTCCGGAGTACAGTATGTATTCAGGCAAAATTGTGCTGGATTAAAGTTACTACATAGCCTTTGTGAGCTTTGATTGATTCATGGTCTGTTCTCTGTTATATACTGGTGGAATAAATACTGTTTGTGTAAGACGATGAGCTATGTAACTTTGCAGCTCTTTATTTCAATGTCACTTTAATGTGCGTGTGATATTAAGTTACTATACAGAGGATCAGTTGTGCTTTTACATCAGTGTTTGATTATGTTTATGTCAAAGCACTGGATCTTGAAGACGGAGAGATTGCACTCATAGAGTTGCATTGATCTGAGTCTTGTTTATTTACTTAATTTGTTCCCCCTGTGTGTGTGTGTGTGTGTGTGTGTTTCAGGATTCGTCATCTCTCTGCTCTCAGAGAGGAGGTGTGATGAAGCAGGGCTGGCTGCAGAAGGCCAACATCAACAGTTCTTTGTCTGTTTCCATGAAGGTTAGTGGAATCACAGACACAGTATTTAAAGGAGCAGTATGTCTTTTTTGCTGGTGGAGAGCGCATATTCACATAAACAAAGGCGTAGTTTGACTGTGACTGAGTGTGGAGTTATGGGAGTTGTGGTCTATATTGCATCCTACAGGACTCCTGCAGAAATCATGTTCAAGGATGAGCTGAAATATTCTAAATGTAGTGCTCTAAATATTCTAAACGAGTAAAGCTAAAAGCTGTCAAGCTGAGAGATGAGTTGAACTCGGCAGGAAAGCTTTTATTTTTTACTTATGCCACAGTCCACCACTACCAGGTCTTCCACTCATGATTGTTTAGATGAAGCAGTGCTGTTTGATCATATTAAATACCTTTCAATGTTCTGTTATAAGGGGCGGACACACAGAGTGTGTTTTTCCTTTCCAATGAACTATTCGTTCATTGTTTTACAATATAAACACGTGCTTGACAGATGTGTGTGACCATTAAGCTTGTGTTTTGCAATTTTTGAAGTGCCACTCACGTGAGTTTTTTTAGATGCCGTTTCAAGTTAACTTTACCACGCAATGCTGTTCATTACTGTCAGTTTCAAAGCAGTAAAGCAATCTGAAGAACTCTAAATGCCCATTTACACTGAGTGGTACAGTACAGTACAGTACAGAATGGTAAGGTATGGGTCACCTTTATCAGTCTTGCATTTCCATTGCCAAAGGGGTACCAATGGTGAAATAGTATAGAGAGAAAGTTTAAGTCTACCTGCTTTGTTTTGTCGGGCTTCTCCTTTGTTTTTTCGCAATTCACTCTCGCATTTGTCCATTCCTGAAAGAATGTCAGAGGCACTGCAATAACCCCCGCATATTATTAATATGAGCTCAAGAATTTCGTTATTTTAAATATAGGTGCATGGCAAATGAACACGAGAAAGAGAAACCACTCGCGATTTCGACGACCTTGTAAACAACTATGGTGCACAGGGTAGATTCTGCTCTTCATTTTGACTTTGTGGCTGTTCATCAAGACACCGACAAGGTTTGTTTAAACTCGGATTGACTATGGCTTGTATATTATTGCAGTCTAATGTCTTCCCAAAGGTTACCCAAATAATGGTACAGTACGGTTTGCTTATGGGTACCTTTTGACAGAGAAAACGGGCATAAAAGCGCACTAAATGGTACCGTACCATACCACTCAGTGGAAACGGGCCATAAGGTGGTGCAAACACTGCAAGTTTTTGTTTACAGATGTTCAGAAGCTGTGTTAGGACATCCACTGTGCTTTATATTGCGCTTTTCATGCGCATTCCATGTTTTCTACTATGCAAATGTTTGAATAGTGTGTCAGTTAAATTTTACAATTTTCTCTAGATTTTAACATTTTTCAAAACATTTGGCATAATGCAAGTACATACTGTATATCAGCAAAATATACAACACTGAAAAAAAACACATACGTGTTAAAAGACACAGGTACAGCAGTCATTGTTACTTAATATTCTGAACATCTGCTCATCTGTGCAATTTGTCAACCCATGGTCGGAAAACCCTAAAAGTTTTTTTCTTCTCTCAGTAATTACATGCTCTAATGTTCAGATAAACGTTTTAAGGCCCTAAAAAAATTCTGTACCATTCAGTACATCTGTGGCTTATTTTTTTTCCTCGGTTGAATTGTAAAGAAGATTTTCAACTTGGACTTGGTCCTTGGTCAGTAATAAAGACATTGGCAGTGTCTGAAAGCTTAGGCGGCTCACATGTTGCCTCTCTGCCCTATCAGGTGGTGACTTTGGAGGCAGCAATTTTTATCATGTACAACAAAATAGAAAGAGCTTTGGAGATAAGTAGGCCCACACGGAATCTGCGCACACAGAAATCTGCAGATTTTTAGCCCATCATTGAATTGAGTCTATTTATTTACTTAAATGTGGATTTATTCAGTTTTTAAATAAAACTTTATTGGCTAATATGAAAATGGCCATATGATTTATTTACAATACAGTTTGTAAAGTACGTCTTGTAAAGTTGTTTAGTAGATAGATTGTTTAAGAGACTTGCTTTGTTTGCCAAATAATTGGATCTAATTAGATTTGCATTGTAAACATTAAATAAAAGTTAAAAAGGTATTTTTTTTAAATTTCATATAGTTTTTAGTTATGATGTTTACAAAATAACTCCACATAAATCTGCTGATTTTTTTACAAAATTTTCAGCAGAAATGGCAAAAAATGTGCTCAGAATCTGTCTGGCCCTAGTGATAAGTAACTACAATACAAAATTCTTACCAGAAATGCCATCAAATGAGGCAAATTGGTCAAACACAAACATTGGCACACAAATTGACATCCAAGTACTACTTCAGGACACCGCACCTTTTTTTTTTTTTGTTTAGTTTTTTTTGTACGCACAAGATTGTGGGATATCATCTATGCTTCTTTTCAATTTGATCAGAAGAAGGTACCTCTTGAGACAGAAAGTGAAGAAGAATTTAGATTCGGACTTGCCATCATGCCTTGGAATGGTGCCTCCAAATGTAGCATTTTAAAGTATTTATACGCAGGCATCATTGTATTATTAAGAAACATGTGTATTAAAAATTTTAGCCTGTGTTTGTGTTTTGACCCTCAAAACACATGGTTGTCACATTTGAAGAATTTGTTCCAGTCTACTTTAATGCTCTATCAAAGAAAAACCAATGGACCACAAAACCAATCACAAGTGTCATTTGTTTAGATTTGAAATTGAGAGAGACAAAATTTGGCCAAAACACCAATATTTGAAAATCTGGGGGTTCAAAAAAATCTAAATATTGAGAAAAACTTTAATTGTTTAAAAAATTAAGTTTAAAGATATTTGCAATGCACATTAGTAAACATTCATTCATTCATTCATTTTTTTTGGCTTAGTCCCTTTATTAATCTGGGTTCACCACAGCGGATTAAACCGCCAACTTATCCAGAATAAGTTTTACGCAGCGGATGCCCTTCCAGCTGCAACCCATCACTGGGAAACATCCATACACACTAATTCACACACATACAATACAGAAAATTTAGTTTACCCCAGAGGAAACCCATGCCAACACGGGGAGAACATTTATACTCCACACAGAAATGCCAACTGACCCAGCTGAGGCTCGAACCAGCGACCTTCTTGCTGTGAGGCAATCGTGCTACCCAGTACCCATTGCGCCACAGGGATGCCCTATTAAAACATTACATCTTGATATATTTACAAAATGTCTTCTTGTAAGATATTCTTCACTTAAAATTGATTTATGTTTCCCAGCACGCTGCTGGATTGCAGCTGGAAGGGCATCCGCTGTGTAAAAACATAGAGTAGTTGACGGTTCAATCCGCTGTGGCAACCCCTGATAAATCAGAGACTAAGCCGAATAAAAATGAATGAATGAATAATATTGATGTAAATGATCTATTAATAATAGACAGTACCCCTATCTCTACCTTTCGTTTTGTTTTCTCCACAGGTGTTCAAGAGGAGATATTTCTACCTGTCTCAGCTCCCTGATGGCTCCTACATACTAAATTCATACAAAGATGAGAAGAACTACAAAGAATCAAAAGGCTCAATCTATCTGGATTCCTGTATAGATGTAGTTCCGGTACACACTTTTTTGCATTCTTATACAGTTGTTGCAGTCCCGCTTATCTTGTAAATATCTGGCTTAATGCATTTCTCAGGAAGTTCTACAACATCATTAAAGCAGGCCTTAGGCTGGGGTGTAATATCAGTTACACAACCAGAGGAGTGTTTCTTACTGAACACCCATTATTATTACAACCACAAACCACTCTTAAAGTCGCCATGTTAAATTCCTCCATCGGCTGACACAGTACTTTTCCTGCAGTGCCCTAAAATGCGGCGCAATGGCTTCGAGCTGAAGATGCAGGAGCGCTACAGTCACTATCTGGCGGCCGACAGCGAGGCTGAGATGGAGGACTGGGTGAACACGATAAAACAGGCCTTACTCAGCACAATGGAGGACCGGAGGAATGGCTCAGAAACGTCTGAAGGGTCTCTGGGTAAATAATGCACACACACACACTGAAAACATGAGCACACATGATCATGTATCGCATGTTGTGTTTGATCATAGTATAACAATATATACTGGTTTGGAAATGACATTAGTGTGGATGAATAAGGACAGAACATTAACTCTTAAAATGCATTTGTGTCCGTTTTGACCTGGAAGCTAGTGTATGTGTTTAAATGAGTCTGTATGGATGTTTCCCGGTGATGGATTGCAACTGGAAGTGCATCCTCTGCATCAAACATGCTGGATAAGTTGGTGGTTTATTCCGCTGTGGCGACCCGATTAATAAAGCGGCCAAGCCGAAAAGAAAATGAATGAATGAACACAAATAAAGATGTTTCGAAGAAACAATAAAACAGGTACCCATTGACTTCTATAGAAGAGGAGAAATAAATACACTATGGAAGTCAATGGTTAATGGGTAACTTTTTAAAACTATCTTCTTTTGTGTTCAACAACAAAAAAAGAACCTCAAACAGATTTGTGGTAAATGACAGATTTTTCTTTTTTGTTTTTATTAAGTAACAAAAACATTTGTGAAGAAAAAAATGAAGTGTTTTAAAGGTTTAATTTACCCTAAAATTAAATTTGCTCTCTATTCACTCAGCCTAAAGTGGTTCAAATCCTTTACTGGTTTGTTGAACAGAAAAGTAAATGTTGTGAAGAAAGCTTAAAACTGGTAACCATTAATCTCCGTAGGAAAAACAAATACACTATGGAAGTCAATGGTTACCAGTTGTGAACTTGTTTTTTAAAATATCTTCTTTTCTCTTCAACAAAAGAAAGAAACTCAAACAGGTTTGTGGTAAACGACAGAATTTTCACTTTTGTTTTATTAATTGACAAAAATTTTGTTAAGTAAAAATGAAGTGTTGTAAAGGTATAATCCACCCTAAAGTGAAATTTACTCGCTATTTACTCCGCCTTAAGTGGTTCCAAACCCTTATGAGTTTGTTGAACATAAACAAAGATGTTTTGAAGAAGTTTGTGACTGGTAATCATTGACTTTCATAGGAAATACAAATACATTATGGAAGTCAATGGTTACCAGATAAAGTTTTCAACGTTTTTTGAAAATATCTTCGTTTGTGTTTAAACAGATGAAAGTAACTCAAACAGGTTTGAGGTAAATGACAGAATTTTCATATTTGTTTTTATTAAGCGACTAAAATTTTGTGAAGTAAGAATAAAGTGTTTTATTAGTATAATTCACCCTAAAGTGAAATGTACTCTCTGTTTACTCACTATTTTTGATCAGAATTGAAGATATTTTAAAGAAAGGTTGAAACTGGTAACCATTAACTTTTATAGGAAAAACAAAAACACAATGGAAGTCAAGAGTAATTGATTGTGAACTTGTTTTTCAAAATATCTTCTTTTCTGTTCAACAAAAAGAAAGTAACTCAAACAGGTTTGTGGTAAATGACAGAATTTTCACTTTTGTATTAATTAAGTGACTTAAATTTTGTTAAGTAAAAATGAAGTGTTTAAAAGTACAATTTACCCTAAAGTGAACGCCTAACACCTAAAATGCCTAAAACCGTTAACCAATGACTTCCATAAAAGAAACAAATACACTATGCAAGTCAATGGTTACCAATTTTGGGCTCTTTCAAAATATTTTCCTGTGTTCAACAGAAAAAAGAAACCTGAACATGTTTGTGGTAAATGACAGACTATTCAGTGTTGAGTGAGCTATCCCTTTAAGAACATCAAAATACAAGTAATCTTTTTTTTTTATTTATTTTAAACTATTTTTTAAGTTAAGGTTTTGCATTCAGGTCATTTTGGATAAAATGAACGACTATTAAGTGACAAAAAAGTTAAAATAATACTATCAAATATAGTCAAATTTCATTCTTAGCATTTGTTCCATGTCTAATACTCTTTGAGACTTCGAATGTCGATGCTAAATCTGAAAATCTAACTGTTAACTAATAAAGTATTGCTGCATTAAACACTGATCTGATTCATACGTATTGAATCAGACACGGAAAGTTCATAAATCCACTGTGTTTGTTTGAATACAGGGTAATACTGTCTGCTGTTTTGTTATGCTGTTAATAAATAGTTGTTTTATAAATTTAGTCTGTATTTGAAAAATTCTGGATAATAAATGGAGTTTCATTTAAATTCAGTTCATTCCTGTTGATTTAATAATTCAAATTCTCAGATTGTTATTGCAAATTTCATACATCATTATATAATAAATTGATATATTCAAATAAGATTTCTCCTTAGCAAAAACATATATATATGGTATTGTATAATTGTTGTGGTTTATGAAGAATTTGACGTTTCAAGAATTTTTTTATAAATAAAAATGTGCAAATAAAATGTAAATATCTAAATAAAATGGTAAATCCTGGTAGGATTTAAAACTATTTTCACGTTCATTCTTTAATGAGAAGCTTCTGATCATGACGGATGCTTCACAAAACAATAATTCAGATCCAAATGAACCTGGAATGTGAAAACAATATGCAAATAAATGCATTATGAGGGTTATGCTATCCATCATGAGATCACCAACATCACTTTAGGGATGTAGTGACTCTTGCGTCATCATCAAAATGAGGTCACTCTAAAAAAAAAAAAAACCTGGTGAATTGGCTTTTCATTGTTTTGCTTTGGTCTGGCTACACATACCACTTTCTTCATAATAAAAATGTCCAAATATCCACCACATATCCAAATAATAAGCAACATTGGAAACCCCTGCTCTTTGTTACTTCCTAAAAAAAGCTTAGTTCCCATTCTGCTCATTTCAAACATCATATTTAAAGCAGATTAATTTGTAGTTTTTTTAACCTATTAAACCTTTGGCTGTATATAAATATGACCCACTGAATTATAGAAATAGCACAGCGCTGTTGCATTATAAGAGATGCAATCTTCTGGGCTCAGAGTCAATATTTTCTCTTTGTGATGACAAAGGATTGAAATACCAGGGAGGCTTTATTCACATTGAGGAGCTTTGGCCTGATAAACAACTCCCTGACTGTCTGTGGTGTAAACTTTGGCCTTTGTTTTCAAAACCTTCCATATGCTGGTCATGAGGAAACAAAATTATGTTTTTAATAACAGGCTTTCGGTTTGTAACTTCTCCGTTTTTATAATATAATAATAGGTGTGAATCAGATTTCAGTTGAACTGACACTGTTAGTTTTGGCTTATCTGTAGTTTGGTGTGTGTGGTGGTGCAATTAAGCAACTAAGTAGTATCTGTTAACAAATCTGTTAAGCAATCACAACTGTAGAAGAGATAAATAAATAAATAAAATGACAAAAAAGTTAAAAGTCTGAAAGTGCATTACACAGTTTACATTTTTTTATTTATATTACAATAAATTTTTTTTATTTATATTACAATTAATTTTTTTTATTTCAATTTAGTTTAATTTTATTTTAATTTTAGTTTATTTAGTTTAATTTTAATTTAGTTTAATTTAGTTTATTTATTTTAGTTTAAATTTAAGTTAATTTAATTTTAATTAAATTTAAGTATATTTAGTTTAATTTAGTTTTATTTCAATTTATTCATTCATTCATTTATTCATTTTCTTTTCGGCTTAGTCCCTTTATTAATCTGAGGTCGCTACAGTGGAATGAACCCCCAACTTATCCAGCACATGTTTTATGCAGCGGATGCCCTTCCAACTGCAATCCATCACTGGGAAACATCCATACACACTCATACACTATGGACAATTTAGCCTACCCAATTCACCTGTACCGCATGTCTTTGGACTGTGGGGGAAACCGGAGTACCCGGAAGAAACCCACGCAAACATGCAAACTTCACACAGAAACGCCAATTGACCCAGCCAAGGCTTGAACCAGTGACCTTCTTGCTGTGAGGCGACAGCACTACCTACTGCGCTATCGTGTCGCCCTATTTCAATTTAAATTAATTTTCATTTAATTTTTGTTTGTTTAGTTTACGTTTTAGTTAATTTAATTTTAATTTAATTAGTTAATTTAGTTTAATTTTAATATAGTTTTTAGTTTAACTTTTAATTTAATTTAATTTAATAAATTTAATTAGTTTATTTAGTTTCATTAAATATTTATATTTATATTTTTATTATTTAATTGTAGTTTAATTTTAGGTTAGTTTATTTAGTTTATTTATTTTAATTTAATTTAATTTATTTTCATTGCATTTCATTTTAAGTTAATTTATTGAATTTTTTTTTACTTTTTTTTTTTAGTTTATATCGTTTTATTTTATAATTTTATATAAAAAAAATATTTTTGCCACATTTAGAACAAGAATTATTTGATGGCATATATCACAGTGCTGCAACAAAATACGTAGTAATTGTTGTTTTCCACCTATTTCTCAAACAAATTAAATATATATAAAGACATGAAATTTATGATGGTTACTTTTATTTAAAAAAAAAAAGACAGGATAAACGTTTCACATTAACAAAAAATATATCTGAATGACGATGGAAAATTATTTCATATTTTGAGATTTTAATTTTCACAAACATTATAAACATTATAGTAGAGACTTTTATAATAGACACTTCAGTTAAATATACTTTATAGCTTATATTTAGACAGTGTTATGTTTTTGGTGGTTGAAGGAGCACATCTTTTAGAACAATATTAACTGAATATTACTTGAACAGATAATGTTAATATTACAACCTGAGTTTAATTAAACTATTTAGGCCACAATCATCAATAAAGAGGCAGATATTTTGCCTTTGGTATTAATTAATACATTTATCTACAACATCCATTAGGTAAAACCTGTGATCTAAGTATATCCTATTCATGGGTACCAGTTTATAAATCAAAAATGTTCCTCCTCACAAGCAACCCACCCTCTCTAGTGTGTGTGTGCACATGAATAAATGAGGGCAGCTGAGTTTCTGGAAAGCTCCATCTATAGTGCCCCTGATTTAACACAGTTTTTCACACACACATGCACACGTTTGTAGTCACTGATGCAACTTTTTATTCCAATAGACTCAAAAGTTAAGCATAAACTCATTTGACTTTTAAATATGTCTGACACGTTAATCAGCTAATATGTCATTTAGACTTTTACCGCTTAAAATTACCAGTCAACCATGACGGTCAACACTTCTAAGATAAGCCTATATTCGCCTGATGCATTGCATAATAATAAAACCTGTGGTCAGTTATGCATGCAGAACGAGTGAGTTTGCCCTTTGATCAGCAAGTGTCTCTTTCCCTCAGATGACGACAGCAGTAGTCAGGGGAAACCAGAGAGCATCACCGAGAGCTTCGGCCGGAGTCTTCATCCTGAGCTGATGAAGGTACTTGACATCATATCATTACAATGCTGACTGGAGTGCTTTGAGGGCTTCTTTGTGCATTTGTAAGTGTCTGTGTATAGATTGCTAATGGTGCTGAATATTTGACGATAAGCCATTAAATTATTAAAAAATAATACACTTGATGTGGTGATGCGTTCTCGATGGGAAGCAGAGTGACTGTTACAACTTGTGTGTAATTTATTTTCTAATAATTCAACAGTTATGAGTCAGTCATTCTGCATATACTGGAATTACAACGGTTTAGGTCTTTGTCAAGACATTTGTTGGGTTTATGGGTTTTTAAAAGTCCCGTGAAGTGAAGTTTGAAATGTGAATTTATTATATTCGATGTGTTACATAATCTCAACTGAAACATGAAAACCGGGTGGGAAATATAGCTCCTCCCCTTTTTAACAAAAAAACAGCCAATAGCATTTTGTTTTATTACAGCTCTGTCAGTGAGAGTGGTTGAGCTCAAGTACATCAAATTTAAAGCAAATTAGAAGCCTTTTAAGTAGGGCATGTCCAAACTAGGGCCCACGGGCATAAGTTGGCCCACCATCTAGGCATCATGGGATGTTTTCAAGGTATAGTGCTGTTTGGAAAAGTCAAGGTATTAAAACCGTCAAATTTTTCTGTCATACCTTTCCTAAGGTATGTTTAAGTTTTTTTTTATGTTTTTTTTTGTTCTTTAGGACAACAGTATCTTCAGTAAAAAAAATAATAAAAAATTGTACAGAAATCTGTGTTTTTGAAACAAATGAAGACATCAGAAATCAGTGATTCATTTGAATTATCTAGCCTGACAGGTCTCTTGATCCAAAATATTATAAAAGTTTTTCAAAATAAAAAATATTGTGTTCAAAGGGAAAAGTTTTAGTTTTTTACCCAGACGTAAGAATATATTTTAAAGGTGTAATCACAATATTGAAAACCGTGATGTTTTTTATCCAAGAGATAAATCCCCTATCTGAGAAGAGAGGGAGGGCTCTCAATGATATTTGTATTTGTTTTTTATACTGCATTAGTTAATACGATTTAAAGTAATTTTTTTTTCTATTTTTTAAAAAATATTATTAAATAAATTACGAAATTACCCATGGCGACTTTAATGTGATATCTATATCTATATATTGGTATAATTACCTTTGGCCCACAGCTCTCAATGACATGGTTTTTTTTTCCCATACGAAAAAGTTTGGGCACCCCTGCTATAGAGCATTTTATTGGTCAGAGAATTTGATGAGATCCTGAAGTATGAGCTGATGTCAAAAAAAGGGTTGATCTATTCGGGCGGAAGTAACAAACTGTAAGATTTGGATGTTTATATCTTCTAAATGCCAATTCTGTCACTGTTTTAAAGCACAATAGCTTATACTGTAGGTGTCCTTAAGGCTAACATACTGATACTAACATCTGAGCAAGCAATGTTTTCTCTTCACTGGAATGTTTAAGCATATCATGTAAAGACTTTTGCCTTGTTTAGATTTTTTTTGACAGATGTATGCTGTGGTACTGAGTTAAATATGACTATAAGGCCCCATTTACACTTCCAGTTAATATGACCCAATTCCTCAAATGTGACAGATTGGATCTGTTCTAGGATGCATTCGGTTATTCAGAGATCGGTATCAGGCCTCCTTTATATGTTGAAATAAATCATATATGTGACAATGGGACTATCATGTAAACAGGCAGATCGGATTCATTGAGGCATTCTGTTTTGTACGCCATTAAACTTGCAACTATGTGGTACTTCGCCGCGGTTTAATGACGAAGATGGAAGAGTGTGTTTGGAGACGCTGATGCAGTAAACAACAACAACAGAGGAAACATGGAGAAAGAAAGTGGTTATTCGCCACAATTTGTTCCCACTAGACCCGAGATCTCTCTCGTACCCACAAATTCCTCTGAATGCTGAAGGACACCATATATAAACCATGCCATGGCAGCCCTTACCCTTCTCCTCCACCTTAAAATCATTTTAAAGTTGGGCAAACTTTGCATATTTTGCAGAGCTAAAAGCAAGACGATATCTTACATCGTGGATAGTGAGATGCCGGAACCTGCCTTTATGCATGCGCGACATCGTAAATTGTATGGCAAGTGTAAACACATTAATTGGATATGGGTCACAATTAAAAGAACGTGTAAACAGACAGGCAAAAAAAATCAGATATAAGCAACAAATCGGAATTGGGCATCAAGACCTAACCGATAACACTGAACACTTGTCATTTTTGAAAACACAAGGCGCACTGTTGATATGAAAAACAAACAAAAAAAATGTTTGTTGTGCTTTTCATGTTGCTAGGCAACCAATGTATCAATGGTCTTAATGCCATTAATGACATCGGGAGATTTTTTCCACGGAGTTGTCTTTTTATTCATTTTTTTTTAACTGCAGGCATTCAGAGTGCTCTGATAAAAGTCAGAGTCACCTGGGACACATAAACAGCATGCAAAATGTTCACTGCCAAAAGAAAACTATTTTAAATAGGCACCCCTTACTGCAAAGAAATTCATTCGGTGTGATCTGGGCCTAATGCATCCTGCCTGGAACTACATTAGCTGTGCATTTATTTTAAAATAATTGCATACTTAAGAATGAGTTATACAATCTGTTCAACATCATAAAATCCAATTATATATATATATATATATATATATATATATATATATATATATATATATTTAATATTTTCCAAATATGGATATTTATTCAATAAGCATGTTTCCACTTTAATCACCTCATCTTCGGGTATAGAAAAAGTTATCCTCTTTAGTTGAATGAACATATTTGTAGCATAAGTTCATGTAATATCTCAAAATACGCTTTAAATTTTGAATGGAAACATCATGCTGCATTGTTTAATTCAGACTAGTGCCATGTAAATAAATATTTGTTTTGTATTTTTAGCTAAGTCAGAACAAGTCAAACTTTATTTATAGAGCATTTCAAAAAACACAGAAGTGAGCCAAAGTGCTGTAGAGAAATATACCACAAAACAAGCATAATAGTATATAAAATACTTAAATATATAAGGTAAAATATAGCTAAGCTAACCAAAAAAGTATATAAACTAAAATCAGTTGGTGCTGTAAAATCAGCTGTCAAAAGCCAATGAAAAAGTTAAGACCTATTTTAAATGAAAACAAAGAAGAGGCCTGTCTAATGAGATATATTTAATATAACCACTTTCTATTTAATCAAAATGACATTAAATCATAGCGGTGCCAATACCCTAGTGGTTAGTGTGTTGAATCATGGCACCAAGGTGCTCACGACCGGAATTCGATTCCCAGCTCAAGATCCTTTGCTGATCCTTCCCCTATCTCTGCTCCCCATACTTTCCTGTCTATAAATCTCCACTGTCCTATCACAATAAAGGAAAAAACTCTTAAAAAAGGTAAACCTTATATCTCATCCTTTATTTTCTCAAGAAGGACACAAATAGAAAGGGAATAGAAAAGACTGTCAAAACTCTTGTTAATGAGGTCTCTATACACTGTGCTCAACTCCGTGCATCACTTCATTTTTTTTGTCCTGTTCTCTTCAGTATGCTAGAGAAACTGACCAGCTGAGTAAAATGAGCAGGAATGAGGGCCGACAGAAGATCTTCTCCCTCGATCCTGAGGTGCAGGTTAGTCAATTTCTCCCAATTATCACCTTCTGCATTACAAAGCGGAAAGCAGTCGGTAGCGCGCCGACAAATGGTGCACGTCAGGGCGTCCTGAGTTCAAATCCTGGCTCGAGGACATTTCCCTACCTCTACCCCCCCCCTCTCTATCTCTCTCTCTCTCTCTCTCTCCAACTTTGCTTCCTGTCTCAATACTGCAAAAAGCCCAAAAATAAATCTTAAAATAAAAAAAAAAATAGAAAGCGGAATGCAAAATGAGTTAATGAAATGTCCCTCTTTCCCTTTAGAGATTGGATTTCTCAGGCATCGAGCCTGACGTGAAGCCATTTGAAGAACGATTTGGCCGAAGAATCATGGTCAGTTGTCACAACTTGACCTTTAATCTGCAAGGATGCGTCAGTGAGAAGAATGACGGTGTCTTGACCAATGTGAGTAAACACATTTAAACACAAGGAATGGCAATATTTATTTCTAAAGCTACTGTAATGGTGATCACAGTCAAGACCAGTATTAGCTGGTACACTGTAATATATGATATCTTTGAATCATTTTCAACATAAATAATAAAAAAAAGTAAATAAGCCTTTTAGCTCAGTTGTACACAAAGGACTTCACTATTCTTATTTGTCGTCTATAGAGGACTTTTTTTAATGCATTTTTTCATATTTAGAAAGAGTTTTAAATCTTAAAGAGGTAATCCTTTCATAAATCCTAAAGATATATCTGACATTTCAAATCAGAAATGCTTAAGAGGGGATGTCATATTATTTTCTGAATGATTGTTTTTTTAAATTATTATTGTGTTTAAGGAAATGTTGAAATGACTAATTTAATAATGATTATAAATGTATATAGTTAGTAATATGGTCACACTTTATTTTGATGGTCTGTTTGTTGAATTTAAGTTACTTTGCAACTAATTCTCATTAGATCATTATAAGTAGACTGTTAGGTTGGGGTTAGGCTTAATGTAAGTTGACATGTACTTGCAAAGTTTCTTATAGTCATGTTTGTTGTAGGAGCAGTAACAACAGATATTAAGCAGACAGTCTACCAATACTCAAATGGACCTTCAAAATAAAGTGTTACCATCAATATGTATATAGTAACAACAACATAATAACAATAATTATTATAATACTATTAATATTATTTAATGAATATTTAAGGCATAATATATAGTTAAATTAATATTATTTTTATTACTAATACAACTACTAATGTAATTTTAAAATACTTTACATTAATAATATTTGTATAAAACTATATAATAATCAAATAAAAATAATTGTGTTGCCTTTTAATATTTTTACTGGTGCTGTGCAAAAATTAATTGTGATTAATCACATCCAAAATAAAAGTTTGTTTTCACAAAAGATATGTGCATGTATTATATATGTTTATTATATATATTTAATGCACACACACACACATTATAGCAAAACCATGCAAATCTTGTTTATGCATACATATTTAATAATTTATATAATTTGTGTCATGTATCTATATTTTATATCTAAATATAAATAAATAAAAAGCAAATACATGGCTGCATTTGAGTATTTGTCTTTAAATAATAAAAATACAACATACACACGCATATATATATATATATATATATATATATATATATATATATATATATATATATATATATATATATATATATATATATATATATATATATATATATATATATAACAAACCTTTTTTTTTTGGATGCGTTTAAACGCGATTAGTCTTTGCCAAGCACAAATTTTTATATATATTTTTATCTGATGTACTGAACAGAGCATGCACAATAAAATGGATGCATTTTCTGAAACGTGATTCCTAAGCTACAAACTCTACATTCAAAATGTTTTTAAAAGTTAAATATACAGTTGAAGTCAGAATTATTAGCCCCCCTGTTTATTTTTTTCCCCAATTTTTGTTTAACGGAGAGATTTTTTCAACACATTTCTAAACAATAGTTTTAATAACTAATTTCTAATAACTGATTTCTTTTATCTTTGCCATGATGACAGTAAATAATGTTTGACTAGATATTTTTCAAGACACTTCTATACAGCTTAACGTGGCACTTAAAGGCTTAACTGGGTTAATTAGGTTAACTAGGCTGATTAGGGTAATTAGGCAAGTTACTGTATGATGATAGTTTGTTCTGTAAACCATATATATATATAGCTTAAAGGGGCTAATAATTTTGACCTTATATTGGTGTTTAAAAAATGTAAAACTACTTTTATTCTGGCCGAAATCAAACAAATAAGACTTTCTCCGGAAGAAAAAAAATATTATCAGACATACTGTGAAAAATTCTTTGCTCTGTTAAACATCATATGGGAAATATTTAAAAAATAAATTAAAAAATAAACGGGGGGCTAATCGTTCTAACTTCAACTGTATGTGTGTTGACTACTGTATAGCTTTCTCTACATGGTGCGTCAAACTACCACAAACACACAAAGAGCGCCAGCAGTTAAACTGAAGGACGATAAAGTTGATAATTGGAAGTGATGATGAATGAGAGATTCTTGGCATGAGGACAGTGGAATCATCCAAAACGCTGTGATGAATGCTGGCGTTGGGAAAACTACTGAACACTTCAGGACTTTCCCACACTTTGTTTGCAGGATCTAGAGAGACAATACTAATAGCAATGGAGTGAAAATACATTACAGAGAAATATGCTGGTTATGTACATATGCCTTGTGCTATTTAAAGGGGTTGTGAACTTATTTTCTACTGTTCTCTGAAGTCCAATTATAATGTTAAATCTGTCAATCTGTCTGCAACAAACTGTTTAATCCTGAGCATATTCATCTTATTCTTCACAAATGAACGGGCACAGTTATTGGATTGTTTTGGCTCGAGACTTGCTGTCTCATTCACTTTTATTGATTTTTAGACGTTAAAAACAGCTCGTTATGCT